CTCCAATGAGCCCCCCGATTCCTCCGAGATTCCCTTCATCCAGTCGACTTCATCTCGCATTGACGCGCGTCTCAGTGTCCTCGACGGAGAGATCGCTCGCCTGAAGCAGTTCGCTGCAGAGCGTGCTGTACTCGTTTCATATGGTGCGCAGACCAAAGCAGCACTCTCCCCGATGCGCCGGATGCCAAACGAGCTCCTCATCGAGATTTTCGTGCTCACCGTTCCTTCCGTCAAGTCGGATGGGCCCTGGGCGTGTACTTTTAGCATGAGGGGGAGTCCATGGGTTTTGACGCACGTCTGCAGTCGTTGGAGAGCTGTAGCCATCTCCACGCCGGCGTTGTGGTCCCAGCTCGTGCTGTGCTTTTGTCCCTTCCATTCTCAGCCTTTGGCGGCCGTCGAGGCGCAGATTGAGCGCGCGAATGGGCTACGGATCCACTTTGGGTCGAAGAGCAACGACGACTTCCACAAGGCGCTTTCAGAGTACTTCGGAGTGGACGAATTTGATCGAGAGGAGTACAACCCTCCCTTTCAGACAGAGATATTCCAGTACCTCACCGAGTCTTCCACGCGCTGGGAAGAACTAAGCCTGACCGTCACCCCAAGGCTACTTCCCCTCCTTCCGCTCATTCGTGACCGACTTCCTTCGTTGCGGAGGTTATGGCTGGAATGGGATAGTGAAGACATGGATTGGGATTTGGAGAAGAAGCCATTCGACTACTTTCAGACCGCAGATTCGTTGGTTCACTTGGGAGTGAACCGCGATGTTGGCCGTAACGTCGGCGAACCGTATCCCATTACAATCCTCACCCCGCCCAAGCAACTCACCCGCTACTGCGCCGATGCATCCTGGGCCACGCATCGAGGCATTCTGCGCGCAAGCCCTACTCTTATCGAGGCCTATGTCAACATCATTCTCTCGGATAGGCCCAACCCGTGGCCAGCAGCCGGCGAGACCTTTGATCTACCTCAGCTTCGGTGCCTCTATATTTCGGATTCGAAACCCCTCTCCAACTTTCACGTTCCCGTACTCGAGCAGTTAACCCTCGGAATGGGTGCGCAGCGCCTCGGTACGCGTGAAAGGCACCGCAAGGTTCCCCGAGGGCTCGATCGTTTCATCGCGAACACTCCTACCATTCGAAAGCTCGGGTTCATGGGTGGAGCTGACCAGTTTTTCGTTCGCACCATTTTGAAGAAATTTCCGCATATCGAGGAGCTAGCTATCATCGTCGTTCCGACCTGGGAAGATTCACGAATCGATAGCGAGGGCTCGGGCGACGAAGGGGGTTGTCCACCAAAGGAGGTTGCGCGTTTGTTTATATTATCCCTCTTCAGCTCCCTCTTCATTGACCCGCGCCCCACTCTCCTGTGCCCGCGGCTCTCTCGCATCCGTCTCGGATTTAAGTCCTCGTTTGGCATGGCTTCACAAGATATTCTCTCGGCCTGTCTCCGAACACTGGAATCTCGATGGAATGCCAGTGCCATACCGGATCGTGCGCTTGAAGCTGCGACGGTTTTCATCGAGGATGGGCCCAGCCCAGATGACGAGACGCAGCATCGTATAGACTCTCTTCGCGAGGATGGGCTGGAGCTGTCTTTATTGACTGAGGACAAGCAAGTGATGAAGACGATGACATCTTGGCTGTGCACTAGCGAGTGGGTCGAGCACAAAGTACCGTTTAGAGATCTTGATGAGTTATACTGATTTTGTACTTGCTGCTGTCGGCAGACTTGAACTTCTTGTTTCTTGGTACTTGCGCCGCGGGAATGAGACGGAGCTGGGATGCACGCGATAGAAGACTTCAAGAAAGCGGCGCAAGGTACAATATTCATGTAAGTACTCGAGCTGAGGGGAAAACGGGATGATGTGTACAGTGTCGTCGGGATCACGGAAGCAACTTCAAGTTGAGGTCTGTTGGTTTGTTCATGTGTTGCACAGCACCCAGCTTCTTGACCACGGACCCAATCTCCTCGCACTCTCAAACCCATTAACCTGCACCCACCTTTTGATAGCTTAGTCTAGGCCTTCTTTGTTCCCCAGAACGCATCCACGGACCATCAAGATTCAAGATTCTCGTCGCCAAACCCAGGCCCCGGGCTTCAAGCTGGATTTCCGAGCAGGGTGATCAATCTGTAGAAGACTTACACCTTCAACGCCACGCGAAACGTCAACACTTGAGGAGAGACGCCAGGCCCCGCCGGCGAATATACTCTTCATTTCAGTCGACCTGTCTCGTCTTTCGACGTCTTCACCTCGGTCTTGTCCTATCCAAAGTGGTATCCGGGACCCACCCGGTCACCCACCGAATCAGAGGCTCAAGACATGGACCTGGACCGTCCGTCGGCGGATCTGTCCGGCTTCCTGTGCGAGTTTCTGTGGTCCTCGGCTCCTCGCACTGATCTCACCCCTCCCTCAAGCTCGCTGCTCAAGCCCCAAAATAATCATAATGAGATGAGTAATTACGCATGCTCAATCATGTCTCCATCTTGCTCGTTTTGTACATCTTCCTCTTCCAGTTCGACCGCGTCTCTCACAATTTCGATCATCTCCCAACCTTGACCTCGCGGCTTCATGCGTGCAACGCACGGACTCTGACCCTAAACCAGTTCACACTGGACAGCATACAGCATGCACTTTGCACAAGTCTCTAAATGGTAAAATCTGTTTGCTTATCTCCTTGCCTCGACACTAATCGGCTCCAGCCTCTCAACGCACGTAAGTTATCAATCTCCGTCGTCCGAGCCGTCCTTCCGCACAATCCACAACGGACCGACCGTCTCTTCGGCAACTTTTTCGTTTTCGGCCTCGTTCCGACCTTCCGAACGGCGACCTTTCGACGCCGTACTCAAAAACCCCTTGGGAGAAAAGGAAGACGATATTCATCTGTTGCTTGTTTAGGGGTTCTTCCTCTTCCAGGATGTTGACCAAAACTGAAGGTTCTCACGACGATTGTTAACCGAGGTCTGGCGTCCCTGACCTCGCGGTTGCGTGCATGTAGGGCCCGGGATTGTCGGTTGGGCAGTGATATGTATGACCCTTGCTTTTTTCGTGTTCTCGAATTCTGTGCCAGGGACATCGAATCGGCGCCACAAACACACCTACGCCCTCTGATTATATTATCAAGCTGGACTCTGCACTACAGACAGCCTGCACTTGTCGGCTCCAAGACTCCACCCACGAAACTGAGTACGGAGCGCTCGGTCACTCGGTCACTCGGCAACCTGACCTTCTCCCTCTGTCTTCTTTCCGCTGATTTTCAAGAACCTGCGCATAGGACTCACTTGCCGTGGAAAATCTTTCGTTTCGCGGCCACAAAGACGCCGAATTCACTCATCCGCTCCACTCGACTCACGAGACTTCGGTCGGCAACCTTGTTTTTCTGCCTCCGTCATCTTTTCGAAGATCTTCAAGAGCCTGTTCGACGCGAGAATCTCTCGTCTTGCTTCTCTAAACTTTTTCCTCTTGAGCATTTCCGCCGAAGAAGACCCTCCGATCGATTCAGCACGTTCGTCCCTTCGTTCGTTGTCCGTCTAATTGATTTCATTCATTAATGAAACGATGCCAGTGGCACCACTACGTTTCAAACACCCACGTATTTAAAGTTGGGCTTCCACAGCATCCGGCTTGACCCACCCTCAATCTTTGGCACCCAATCAAGCTGCACGTCTTGTCTTGTGCCTCATGCTAAAGTAAGAGCCCAACCAATCCCAATCCTATCTAATCAGCGGAGGATGTTCCCTTTCCGCGGTCTGATGGTGGCACCCTAATCTCTGGTTAAGTGGTTATCAAGCTGCTCTTGTTCCTCTTTCGTACCGCAGGTTCCGGGTTCCAAACGCACAACGAAGAACGAGAACAAGGAGATACCCGCACATCAACGCCACCCGGTTTGCGTTACAACTCCATCCATGTAAGTATATACACCTACTAATCAATCTACTTGCACCGCCCATTGACAGTCAAGACGGAGTTTGGCCCTGGCGTCAGCGATCCACGCGAGGAGGATCAGTCGTGGTTCGATTAATTGCTTACTCCCTCTCCCTCCGAGCCGTTCGGGTGGTTCAAAGTAAATATCGGCTCCCCAGCCTGTTTGGGCTCAGTCGTACGGACTTCATTCTGCAGCCCTCCGTCTTTCGCAGAGAATACTCAGTTCCAACTTCCAGACGTTCTCCCGGTGAATTTGAGTATCCGGTTTGATATTTGTGTACCCCGCTCGACGGGGTCCACGGGGTTCTCGGACCTGTGTTCTCAGTCTCATGCCCTCAGGTCCCAGTCTCTCGGTCTTGGAATTCCTTACGACTTCGGCCTCCCAACCAGCGCCGGAGGACGGAGTTTCCCATTGTCCCACGGTAATCCCCGCTCGCTTCGCCGGGGATTTGAACTGAACCCGACGAGACAGTCGAGACTTGACGGATGCAGGGTGAATTATAAATGTATAGGCGCATTGCGCGCAAGCAAATGTTCTTCTTCCTTGGCAATGGAAGGGCAGGAGGGCACCATTTAAAACATCGAATCGAGCAGCCCCGTGGAATTTGGTTACAGTCCCGGTTTAATGGCCGCCTGGCGAAATGGCATCGCGTCTGACTACGATGCATTACCATTGGATTGTTATCAGGAGATTGCAGGTTCGACCCCTGCGGTGGTCATTATGATTTTCTTCCTGGTGGCAAAGGACTCATTTTTTCCGCCGCCAGCTTTCCATTCTCTCTTACAAGGTGATGGGTATCCCCTTGATTGTGGGTGGGACATCTCCGATCGGTGGAAACTTTAAATTCTAACGAGCTACGAATCCACATGCATTGTGGAAATTTGGTATTCAGCTTGGCGACTTGGCAAGCGTTAACAAATGGGACATGGGGAACGTCGGCCTCTCGCGATCAAAAGTTGCCAGCGACCAAAAGTAAGAGTTGGCGGAGTATCGATGATGGAAGTGCCGACTGAGTATGCCGCAACTGGCAAATTCACGGATTGTGGACAAAAAACTCGAGCGAGTCGGAGGACAAAATGACCACCGCAGGGGTCGAACCTGCAATTTCCTGATAACGCACGAAATTGCCTGAACCAACCCATCGTAGTCAGACGCGATGCCATTTCGCCAGGCGGCCGTTGGAAAGGGATTACATGGTGTAGTCATCCCCCGTCCGCCAAGCTTTGTCTGGTGTAAGTCTGTCTCCCCAATATCGTACGAGCTCGATCGTGGACGGTGGCCACTCGTTCTCAATTCATCTGCTCACCGGGGAGACGGATCGAGGCAGGGAGCGACACGGTCACATGCCTGATGCGTCCAAACGTGCCACGTGTCTGATGTCTTTCTCTCTCCGAGTCACTGATCCACATGTGTGCCATTGTTCGCCAATGTCACGAGTACGGTCGACCGCGGCTGGTATTCATGGCCTAAAACGGTAACCTCGATCCCTTTATATTGACATCTGTTCCTTTCTTTGCCACCACTCTCATCTTCTTACCCACACTCATGGTGAGCTCTTACCAGCGCGATGGATCTGTGCTTACCGTCCCTAGACGCGACCACTCGAACTGCGCCCATTCGATCACGACTCCCTCTTTGCGGCACGTGTCGACGCGCTCCTTCGGTCGAACGAGCCGCCGGAGGAATCCGATATCCAAAAAACCCAGAAACTCATTTCGGATTACAGACACCACCTCGACGAGCTCGATGACGAACTTAGGGGGTTGAATGACCGGCTGCCTGTCCTGGAAGACCTGCACGCCGAATTTCCGGACGGTCAGCTGGGGCACCAAATCTCGGGGTTGAAAGAGCGGTGCGCCTTGCTCGAAGCTGACCGTGCCACGAGCATCGCCAGATCCTCCGAGCTCAATTACCCCGCCATTCTCTCTCCCCTTCGACGCATGCCACCCGAAATCCTGCGCGAAATCATGAGGTGGACGGTCCCCACGGCCGTCACAGAGGTCTTCCCCGGAGGTGTCGGCTTGCGCCAGAGTCCCTGGAATATCGCCTGCGTTAGCCAACGATGGAGGGCAGTCGCTCTCTCAATGCCTTCGTTGTGGTCGTTGATTCTGTGGAATTATAACCGATACAACCTTCCCATCCAGGCGATCAAGATTCAGGTCCAGCGGGCCAACATGCTCCGCGTGAACTGGCATGGCAATGTTCATCCCTCCGAGTTTGACGAGACCAAGACGTCGACGGCGGTGCAGACACTCGAGTACCTCATCGAGCATTCCCCACGATGGGAGGAATCGATGCTGCAATTATTAACAGCCGAGATGGTGCATCTGCTCCCTGCTCTGCGGGACCGAATTCCTTCCTTGCGTATGCTGGTGATCACCTGGGCCGACGGGGAGAGCGAAGAAAAGACGCGGTCACTCGACTGCTTTGAGACGGCGTCTTCTCTCGTGAGGCTCGTCCTGCACCGCCGGTATCACCCGCTATCCACACCCTTCGTATTTCCGGGAAATCAGCTCACACAATACCAGGGCGTCAGTGCAGATTGGGCTACCCAACGTGCCATTTTGAGCGCCAGCCCGTCTTTGATTCAAGCCTCCATCCATATCAGCGTGGCGACCCCTCAGCATTGGGGAGAACCCATCCGATTGGGAAGACTTCTCCGCCTCAGTGTCTCTGACATCAGAGTCCTGTCGTACCTCTCGGCACCCGTGCTGGAACACATCGTCATCAGGTTTCGCCATTCTTCCAACTGGTTCGAAATGGGCGGCACGCTCGACCGTTTCTTGACATCCCACTCGTCCACTATCCGCACGGTAGTCCTCGAGAGCATTTGTGATGCGAAATTGGCGGGGGAGATCCTGCAACGCGTCCCCAATGTTAAAAACCTCGTGCTCATTGGTTCTTGTAACAATCACAGCCATCTCCGTCCTACCATATCTGACGAGCTGGTGGCACTCCTTTCCCACTTCACCGGCGTGGACTCGGAACGTAGGCCGACCCTCATCTGCCCCCGCCTATCTCGCTTCGTCCTCGTTTTCAAGTCGGGCTACCCATTCAGCGTGGACTACCAGATCATTTGTCAAGCGCTCGAGACTCGATTGAGGCTCGTTGCCCAGACCAACGCCTCGCCGCTGCAAGCTGTCATGGTCGCTTTCGAGTCGAGCTCTCCGCGGACGGTGCAGCAGCCGAATTCCAAGGCGCTTTGCAGATTGAAAAAGCTCGGAAGCCAGGGGCTGAAATTTTTGTACGTGGAAGGGGCGAGTGCTAGGTGTCGCGTTGAGGCTTGGACTTGCCGCCCGAGGTGGCATGTTGGAAATTAAAGGTACACTTTGTACCAGTATGTAGACTATAATTTTCATTCAATTTCAAACGTCGCCTTTCGTGCCTCGACATGTGACCGAGTGTGTGAGTAATTGTTCCGGCCGAAACGGCCAAGGCCGGCTTGCTCCACACCGCCATCTTCTTTGATTCGCCAGAGGATCGTTCATGTTCGTCTTCGTTGCGTTCGATTCACGCACGGCACTCCGCGGTTGGTGCCTCAAGAATTCTCTCCTCGGAGTTCTCGACCGACGGCGATATTGATCGAGCCCGCCCGCGCCAATCCAAGTCCCCCAATGCCAGATGGACACCGTGGCACTTCCGGATCTCGTATTTATGCTTTCCAGGAATCTGGGAAAGCAATGAGTGTGCTATCCGCTCGGCTGGACACTCTGCCGGAGCCAACCTGCAGAATTGCACCGCTGGGGCCTCTGAATCATCCAAGATCTTCTGCTCGTCAACTCCGAATCTTGGCCGAGACTCTACTTGCTCTCTATAACCGCGGGTAACCGTTAAGCGTGGAGCACAACATAAACATGTCCAGAAGCGCCCACGGCTCCTCCTGATATGATGCTCTTCTCACTCATGTTCCCATGACCGCTCCAGCCTCTCGTCAGATCGTGGATATCGGACTTCCTACTATGTAGAGTACCCGCCGCTATGTGTTCCCTCTTCGAATTCTCGCCCCCATCGCAGCCATGACCATATCCTCCGATTTCCCTACCTTGCTCACTATCTGTGCTGTACTGGCACTGCTCCCACTTACCTCCATGTACTTGCTGCGCAGGCGCCAGTCCAAATTGCCCCTCCCTCCTGGACCACCCAAACTTCCTCTCGTGGGCAATCTTTTCAATTATCCCTCAACCTTTGAATGGGAGACGTACATGGAATGGAGCAGGATGTATGGTATGTCTCCAGGGCACCAATCGGATCAATGCCGACGCACTGACGGTCGACTTACAGACTCGGACATCCTGCATTTGGGCGTCGCGGGCCGATCCATCGTGGTTCTCTCCTCAAAGGATGCGGCCATGGACTTGCTTGAAAAAAGATCAGCTATCTATTCCGACAGGTCGGTTCTTATGAACATCGGCCTTGTCCTCGACTTGACTTGGAATAGACCACGGCTTCCTATGGTCAACGAATTGATGGGGTGGGACTTTAATTTCAGTATGGAAGCCGTATTTCATTCGAAATCGAGTCTAACAGCATCTGGATGGCAGCGATGCAGAAGTATGGTACGCTTCGCTTAATTCTCTCCTCACGCGACTTCTTATCTGTTACAGGTGATCACTGGTGTGTATTTGGTCCCTTATTAGGTGGATTATCATCCTGATACCCTCCCAGGCGAGCCCATCGTCGTCTATTCCACGGCGTTTTCCACGAACAAGCCGCAAAAAAGTTTCTTCCCGCCCAACTGTCAGCAACGCACCAACTTCTTCGGCGCATGCTCCACACGCCGGAAGATTTTGTGGCTCACCTACGCCAGTATGTCGTCGTTCACTGTTTGTCTCCGACGCAGTCACAGCTCGAGTCTCAGCATGGCCGGGAGGTTGATAATGGAGACCGCATATGGCATAGATGTCCTTCCACAAAACGATCCATACGTAAACCTGGCTGAAAAGGCACTCCATAGCCTCGCTTACGCTCTCGTACCCGGAAGATTCATTGTCGTGAGTGTCCCATTTCAATTTATTTCCGCCCTGCTAACGATTGTAGGACTCGCTGCCTGTGCTCAAATACATCCCGATGTGGTTCCCTGGTGCGGGATTCCAACGCCTGGCGAAAGAGTGGAAAAATTTCGCAAACGAGATGATAGAAAAGCCCTACGCTGAGGCCAAGCTCAAAATCGTGAGTGACCAGGTTCGTACACAAATTGAACCTTAGTGATGATTGCCCCAGGCATCGGGAAACGCGCCCCACTCGTTTACCGCTAGCGCCCTCCAATCGTTGGAAGATTCCAACGACAAGGAATATCGGGAACGCGTGATCAAAGGCACAGCTGGGACGATGTACACGGCGGCGAGCGATACAACCGTGGCTGCTTTGAATACCTTCATTCTCGCTATGCTAGCCAACCCGGAGGCGCAGAAGAAAGCCCAAGCTGAGATCGACTCGGTGGTCAAACGAGGGCATCTGCCTGATTTCGACGACGAGGCGTCTTTGCCGTATGTCACGGCTGTGTTCATGGAGGTTCTACGCTGGCAGCCTGTGACTCCAATCGGTGAGAGTCTGTCAGACCGCTTCTATTTGGACTTTTATTAAGCGTCGAGTGATGACCACCCAGGAATGCCGCATTGTGTCTCGGTCGAAGATGAGTATCGAGGATACAGGATCCCGGCAAACTCGACCGTGATAGCCAATATCTGGCAAGTCGGGGACTCCGACCATGAGATAGGACCTAACCCACCCCCTTTTCGAATCTCTCAGGGCTATTTTGCACGACGAGATCGTTTATCCCGACCCGTATATTTTCAACCCCGAACGGTTCTTGCTCGACGGCAAGTTGAATTCTTCTGTACAATGGCCGGATGCGGCATTTGGTTTTGGGCGGAGGCAAGTCTGGCTAGCATCATTCCGTGCGTTCAACGTACAACCACTAACTTAAAAGGTTATTTCAGAATCTGCCCTGGACGGCACATGGCGAAATCCTCGATCTGGATTGGCATCGCGTCCATTCTTGCGGCATTCGACATCACCAAGGAAGTAGGACAAGACGGTCAAGTTGTCGAACCGAGTTACGAGTATTTTGCTGCCATGGTTCTGATGCCGCTTCCTTTCCAATGCTCCATTAGGCCTCGGTCCAAGGAGGCTGAGGCTCTTATTCGAGCTACAGCAGATCAAGAGTAGTTGTTTGGT